AGTCTGGCCTGCAAAGTTACAAGGACAGTTTATGCACGGGATGCAATATACGACCACAGATTGCTCACTGGGATGTAACTGGTCTTTGATTATTATGGCCCTGTTGCACATTGTAGCTTCGAGCCGGTGTGCAATTCTTGAACTGGCTGATAGGCTAGCAAATCTGAAAGTCGGAGGTTTGGACTGTCATGATTTAATCACGTGTTATGTGGCATTTATGTCACTCACAATTGTGCGAGGCCTGAGATGCCTCAGAAATGAACTGTAGCGCACTTGGACGTAGGCACTAGGCGGCATGCGTGGAAAGTGAATTCATGTCAAGTCAACAAATGCGTCCAATTTCACTGGCAGTCGGTCTGACCCGGAGATGCAACTGACGTATGGGAAATACAGATACCAAGAAATCGGTCCTCGTGGCAAATAAACGAATTCCTCAACGTATGACACCTATTATGCATCTTTTACTGACTTTCTTCCCAACTGATGTTTAACTTAACCCTGCATAGTTTTCAACGCTGAAGAACCGTTAAGGCTTCTAAACAGAGGATATATTAAGTATTTTGCCTCTGAAATTCGTCGATGAGGCTATGAGACATAGTCATTCACATGGGTTCTTTCATCATGCGCACAAAAAGATGCGTGAGGAAATTGTCTTAGAGACGTCAGCCGCTTACTGTCTAACCTGGAAGGTTCTTTGGTTATATATGTACCCGGAGTGGAAATAGGGAAGTAATTTGCATGACGATTCCAAATGGCTATCGGCATACTCTGCAGTGTGAACAGTACAGTTCTCGTTTGTTTAAGTAACTGCATATACAGTCTTTGTTCTCCAACTTGCTTATTTTACCGCGCGACGGCAAATGCGATGATATAGATTTCTTCTGCACGATGATCAGTTTCAAATGATGGATCTTCCGCCGAATGTACTCAGCTAGGTCGCCCTCTTTTTGCTCTATTTGCCCGATGTACATAGAAGGGTAGTCAGTGCACAGATTTCGAGACCTGCCAATGTAAATGTGCTCAGTATGTCCTTGGCGTGCATGACTTGACTGGGCATTGCGACCATAGTTCTGCAAACCGTTTGTGCGATGCATTCTCTGACCATCGAAACAGTTTTTTTGTAAGTCGATGTATATCTCGTATGCTAGATGATGAAGGCCCTGATTGACCGTCCCTTTTGGCTTGATGACAGACAATGAAGGTGACTGCTGTTTGGTTTTACAATGCAGCAGTGTCTGTGTGTTCTCGAATGCGGAGTCTTAATACAATCTATTCGGTCCGCAAATGGTGGGTTAATGTGAAGCCTGACGAGATGCGTTGTCATTAGCTCTCCTACTCAGTACTGTCCGCAGTGCGTGGTTTCGTTCATTGTTTACGAGGGTACACCTAGGACCGAAGCATTCCGCCCAACCTCTTCTTCTTCTCTGAATCTAGTTCTAAGAAAGGTGCAATTAAGTGAATCACGAGGCTTGTCTGCAGATGGCCCCCTAATCAGTACACCAGTGTCGTCAGCGCGTCAAAGACAAGAGATTGATCCTTCAATAACAACTGCAAAATAAAATGTGATCGGTCGAAGTTAGGCAATCCGATGAGTTTTGAGTAGAACTCGATATCGAATTTTATTATGCTTCCTCATAATAAGGTAATAGGCACATGAATAAACGTCTTCAGTAAGCAGACCAATGCGACATCGAGCCTACTACGCGAAACCGGAGAACCCAATAACACTAACCTATATCACCTTAACATTGCTAATCAGACAGACTACTAATAGAATTCCAGAAGCTTGCAACAGTCCCCTTGAGAATCCATCAAATTTCATCACCCCCCACCCCATAACCGCAATCTCCACCTCACACAGAATATCGAATTACAGGAGAAAGAGATAAATACTCTGAAATGAGGTCTTACAGGTATATATACAACAAGAACTACCTATTACACCTAGATCTATGGGGAACTCTGCAAATGCCACAAGACATTCGGCGAAGTGTGTTGCATATCCGTCTTTTCCAATGCCACAACTCCTAAAATGAAGAAGAAAATGAATCACAACAGTAATCTTTCCGGTGTAACAATGCACAAAGCAGAGTCAGAGCTGGGCCTTAACTCACAGTCCTCCGCCCACGGTTGCCAATCTGCCAGGGAGGAACAACTAAAAGAGCATGCAAACGCTGCATGTGAAAAGACAAAAAAGTGGAACTCGCATCAACCCAGAGGATTGTCAACTTACAGTTGAGGGCTGATTGCAAGTCGCACGCGTTTACCTGTTCCTTCTGAACACCTGCCTGTGTCCCCGATGGAGACGAGGACTGCGACCTTGACAGGCTGGAGACGACGGTCAACTCACTGCTGGCAAGTGAGTCCTCGTCCCAGGTGTGGACGGGGTAGGGACTCGGCACCCTGGGTGGCCGCCTTGCCGACAGCTGATTCATCCCTAAATGCAGAATTGGAGGACAGCATCGGAGGTAGGCGGTGCTGTGACATGAAAGATGCCAATGGAGGCGGGACTCAAATGAGGAGTACACGTACGCTCAGTGAGAGCTGCGCGTGCTTCAAGAAACTGACAGCGCTTGCATTGCTTCGCCGCCATACTCATCTGGGGATCCTCGTCCTCGTAGAGGCTGTGACAGAAGGAGACCATTGAGGAGGACTTCGATAAGTTGCCGCCGTCGCCGTCGCCGCCGCAGCCTCCAGACTGCTGATAGTGCTCAGTTGTGCAGGGGTCAGGCGATACAGTTGGCGACATCGACGAAATGTCCGTCCAAGAGCTAGAAGGTAAGCATTTGCGAGCCGATATTATGCACCGTGTAGCAGGCACAGGTGGACTTCAGGAGGATAAGGGGCAAGCAATCGGAACACATACGTGAAGGGGGAGGAGAGTCGTCTAGAAGGCAGGTCAGTCGGTTCCAAGTCCGCCTTCTGCACCTGCGCGTGTGGATGGGATGCATGAGTTTGTGGGAGGTGTAGGGCATCACCATCGCCCTTGCTACCCATTCCACCGACCATCACATAGTCTCCTAATACATCCGTGTTTTGTGCTGTGGAGAGTGGAGACACCCTGCTCGAGTGCCATCGTCCCACTCTCCTCAGAAGAGCACTCCTCAACTGACTGACATTCCAGTGAGTTAGCAGATCAAGCAGTCGTTTCACGATGTTCGGCTGCTTCTTTGCGTCTGTAGAAAAGTGCTGCAGAAAGCCGTCTGCTGGCATCGCAGCGTTCGTAGCCTGGGCAAATTTGAAAGCCGCTTGAAGTGCCAATCGATGGATTGTCACGAGAGCACGTGTTATCTACGCCACGTTTTGCATGATGAATGTGAGACGTGAAGACGCCGACTGCGATGATTAAATGCTTGTGAATGATGGTGAGCTGACAAATGGGAATGTTTCAATAGGCAATTTGGCGAGCATAGGTCTGCCTTCGAAAAATTCTCTTTAGGCCTGTACATTTATATGGCTATTGTAGCAATGAATTAAACAGATACGGGCAAATAGATAATTAAGCTGTAACTCGGGTTTGGAGAGGAGAGAGAGTGAAATACCACAAATCCATTCAACGCCAGAGAGAAAGTGGGTCCCGGTGCAGGTAATTATATGCGGGTGTCTGACTTGGTGGCTTTGAGCCATGGCAACTGTGGGACCTGTATGAATTACTTCTGTGCGCATAGGGCCGGTTCGCGCAGCCTGATTGTAGCCTCCTCTGTCGTCGCAAACGGGCGCCGCCCAAGTAATTTTGGATAGCTTGATGGGACCTTGTAAATCACTCTGAAGGCCTACGCTGTGTTCTGTGCCTGCCATGTGCGCGAGGATCGAGCTGTTGATGTTCTTTGTTTGTCCCTTTCCTAACTATACTGGAGGATGTTCTTTTGTTCTTTTGAATAAACGCCTGGAACCTCTTATTTCGTAGCCGTACCTTTAAGGGGTTAGGGTTATGTGTTAGGAGTATGGGGTCAGGGTTGGGCGCTAGGGATTAAGGTTAGACCCCCTATAACCACTGGTCCCGTATTACAGACGACTAGTGCTTGTCTACTGCAGGTACGACTGTGAAATAAGATCTGACCAATGAGTCTCTAACCCCTCGCGAAATTAACTGACTCGCCAAGCGGATAACACACAACCTCAGAATTATAAATGCTTCACTTTTACCGCTTTCATTCAACGGGATACGCCTTGCTGCATCGCTTTCTATAGTGACGTGCTGGACAGTGTTCCGACAGTCATCGATTGTATGTTTACCTTGACATTTAAGTCGGGTATTTGTTCCTGTACGTCCAAAATTTGTTGAAACTATTGGTTAAGACAGTTGCTGAGGCGCGAGGGGCATATTTGGTAGCGCATTTTTAGCAGTACTTTGCTATGGAGAATAATAACCCGCTATTAGAAAAAACCATCAGATTTGCCAGTACTTGACAGATGGAAGGGTTACATTTATCTGAACAGGAAGACGTTGTAGCGGACCCCGACCTGCCATTACACTTCTATGATTCACAGAAGCAAGCTAACTTCTCAAGTAGCTAGTAGGAGGATAGTGGAACACAGTATTTACTGGCTAGGGACGATGCATGAAACTGGTGCGGTTCCCAGATCAGAAATTAAGAAATTGGGGCGAAAAGGTAATTTGCTTTACGGAGACGCAACCAGACCGTGAAGAAGCACAATTAGCAGTACGGATTAGTGGCGTGGTCAACAGCGTCAAAGTTCAGTTGAGGGCAAGGCGTCGGAGACAATTTGCCGATTGGCACCCATGGTGGAATGCGGCTGTGGTTGACGGACGTCACTGTGGTAGAGGACGTCACTGAGAAGTGTGATGCCCTCTCCGTCATAAGGGTCAAACACAGGTGCTTTCCACAGTCATCTTCGTTGGAGTGGCGACAACTGCTGTCCAAATCTGGAATCCCAGCAGGATGGCAGGACTGGACGTAGTTCATCCTCCTTTCGTTCATCTCCTCCGTACGCAATAAGTGCAGCACCTCATAGACTATTGATACTTTTTAAACTGTATGCAAAGGTGGCTGACAGAACCTACCTTAACCGTAAGTGCATGTGTTCACAAAGTTCAGGTTGTTGTTGTTGTTGTTGCTGTTGTTGTTGTTGTTGTTGTTGTTGTTGTTGTTGTTGTTGTTGTTGTCGATAATGATGATGATGATGATGATGATGATGATGATGATGATGATGCTGCTGCTGCTGCTGCTGCGGCTGATGACGTCGACGACGACGACGACGACGACGATGATGATGATGATGATCTTGCTGTTTTGGCCCCACCAAACACAGGAGCAGACGTCCAAAGACAGAGCGCCGTGACGCTGGAGTCACCTCTCACCTCAGGAACGACACATGACATGAGTTTCTTGTCTGACGCAGGACATCAACGATCGCCTGAAGACTCTGCGCCTACCTCTCTGGGAAAGCATATTTGTCACTGGCATCGCCTACGCCCCCACTGACAACTCCAACACAAGTGGCCCTCTCCTCCTGCAGGCCCATATAGAAGACACTGTTCCCCCCCCCCCACCAACACAATCTTTCGCACTCCCACCCAGGGACGAGACAACTTGCATGCCTCGATGACAAGCGGCCTACACCCGCATCCGAAAACGGAACCAGCGCGATAAGGAACAGATTTCTGGCGGGATCACCGACTTGTCGTCTCAAAGATCCGGGTTCCAACTCCAACACCGCAAAAACCCGAGAGGCAACTGAACAGTAGGTAAGATAATGGCTGTATTATGGGATTGGCTAACCCCTAACCTTAACGTCTATCCACTAACCCTGACCCCTAACAGGTGCAGGTACGAAATAGGATCTTGTCGGATAGGCCTTAACGTCGAGTGGATTTTAGCAATCGCTTGCATTTCGACCTGGAACAAATGGAGGCATAAGATGTGAATACCGTTGTCGACACCGAACTGAGAGGACTGAGGGATGACAGTTTGACCGTCGTTGCCGGCGCTGTCCACCGTGTGCTCCACAACACGGTGACTCGCGCGTGAATCAGTTTAAAGTGTTAACAGACTTGCGCAGCATCTGCCGCACTCTCTCTTCCCATTCCCCACCTAGACCCAGTGTCAAGACAGAGTCAGGAAATCCGGAGGTGGGGGAGCGCGCAGGTGGATGGCACGGCTGAAGCCGAAGGGGACCACTCGGGCCATCGGCATAGAAGCCCCCGGTCGTGCAATTCGACAGTACTTGTTTGCCATCTACACTGCTCAGCTCCACATTTGTGCATCTGGAGGCTAGGGGCAGCACGTCCGGCTAGGTTGTAATGTTCAGTCAGCAGCCCTTTATAAGAAGATTCTATGCTCTACACTTCAAGCATTTCTCTAAGTCTGCATACATCAGACGTTGGACGACTTCCTTGTGATTTATTAAACCCAAATCTAGGTAACCCAATACGATATTCGTCCGTCGGCATTACAGTGAACATGAGGGCTAGGGAGTGGATCGGGGCCAGCACGTAACCCCGTCTAATTCATTGACTCGGTGACGGCCTCTGAAGTTGATGCATTAAGAAGACTATTAGTGAAGACCTTTTCCGCAGTGCGGAAGAAGAGGATGGTTAGACGCTTATCACATACCCAGCGCCTCCCTTCTCGTCCCGAGGAATACGCAGTGGTGGGTTCCTTGAGACTGCGGAGATTTGTACCCGACTCCACCGTCTGTAGGTCAAATGGGTCGGTCGACATGAGATAATTATATCTCTATCACTGTTACATTTTAGTACACCGCAAAAGCCTGTGCTGAAGTACTTGACTACTTGACCTTTGACAATCTTGTCACGTTTGTTTTACTGTAGCATTTGTTTTAACGTGACGAAGACTCCGCCGCTTGTAAGCTTCGCGCCGCTTGCATGCTCTCTGGTCAGGTCGTTGCACATTTTGAATATTAACTTTATTCACTTACTGGGCTTCCTTACCTCTCTCCGTTTATGAGGTTAGTAAGCCGTAGTTCGTTAGTTCACGGGAACGACATAACTTACGTCAAGCGCATAAGCTTAAACTAACAAATGCCAGATTTCATTATAATTTCATTGAACTGAAGAAGGAAGGTACATTGTGTCAAATCTAAATAGCTGCCGTGATTCTTTTCGAAAACCACGTTATACCGTGAGAGCACACTAGGCGACCAAGCGAGCAGACACGCCAATTAGTTATGAACTTCATTATTCTTCCCACACATTCGCCTCACTCGCCTCCCCAATTTTAGTAGGCTTTATTGTGACTGCATACTTAGTCTTGCCTTTTCTTTTGCTGGTGGTGTCCGTTGAAGTGACCTTCGAGCAATTGCCCTCTACTGTCTGCGAGTGACTCAACTTATTAACGCCAGTCATGCTCACTTCTGTCATTCAAAGGCCCACGAGGCATTTGATTAAGTCACATCAGGCCGCATGATCGACCACCTCCAAATATCGATTTAATGTCAGTTTAAAAACTTTACACCACAGACAGCCGTGGAGGGAGGCTGGCGGTGCCGCACGGAGCAGAGCGGATAAAGACAGCGTTCGCTGCCTGTTGGAGCCAAATCAGAAAGTCCACTTCAAGCGGTCTCGCTCCTTCGTCCGCATGATTTGGTTCCGGTCGGGAATCGGGAACCAGATTCCGGCATTGCTAGACTGGCGGGTGTCAGCGCAATGCTCCCAAGGGAATCTTCGTCCCAGTGTGGAGTCGAGACTGACTGTGTGCGGAACTTATCTGAGCGCACCCATAAGAAGCGATGCTACCCCGTAAAGGAGGGAGAAAGAGTTCATATTTGGAGGAGACGCTTAGTGTGCAACTGTGGGGGAAGAGGAAGAGAGGCACACCACGAAAGATAACGTGGAAACAATGTCTGTGTAATGGATCACAATGAAGGTGGTCCGAAACCTCAAAGAGTTGACGCTTCTTATTATGAGGAGAAACCACATGTGTCAGGGGTTGCATACAATATATTAGCGTCGTAGTCACTCTACACTTGGACTGAAAATGCCCTTGCAAGCAATGCACTGACAGCCTCTCGTCTAGGGATAACGGAGTCTGCGACCCCCTTCCCGGACAATGGCAGACATCGTTCACTAGGTAGGCCATTTGGTACGACACTGGTTTCACGTCTGAATTCCTCCCCACTTTTGTAACATGTTTTGTTTTCTGCAAAATGAACTGATTTTCGACTGTCTTCTCATCTTCTGTTTTTTTCATGTTACTAGGGAAGGTAGATATGTGGAATAGGTATAGATGAAGTATCTTGAGTTGTTATTGTCCCGAGATTACGTTGAGGGTGCTTGTGAGTCTCCGGGCTTGTGATTGTTGTAAACATGTGCACATTTGACCGGATTTTCGGCGAGGTTTGTGTCTGCAGCATTACTTTATTGATATCGACTGGTTAGCTTACTAAAACAATATTACTTAGCATATATGACTTAGAAACTCGTTGAAATAGAAAGGGAAAGAGAGCGTAAGCAGGGCTCGAAGCACGCGCAGGGAAGTGAGTGAATGTGGTGTGTACACACTCTCCCCCCGACACAGCCACTCATTGGATTAAGAGGGTACTGGGGGCGCAATCACAACTGGAAGGCCACGGAGGGAATCTCGGGGTAATTTGCAGTGTACAGCCACTGTAGTGGAAACGACAGGGTTCCACACTGTCGGAACAATTCCATTAACAGGCCTACATAGCCACTCCCTGGTTTGGTATAATGAAGACGGCGCAAGCAGATTTCGAAGCACGTTCAGGGAAGCGCGTTGGGAACTGATAACTGATGTAACCGAGGCTGGCTTATAAGCACACCTACTTCCGTTGCACAGGCACTCGCTGCATTAAAATCGTAAGGAAGATGCAAGTACGTGATATTTGTAAAATCAGCCTATTCGCATCCACTAGAATTTTTTAGAAATCTCACCATTCAAAACAACCAAGTTGATTTTGTCGGGCGTTACGCACCCCTATGCTGAGATGCAGCGCTGTCCTCGGTGCTGCTATCTCCGAGCTACGGTGTCTGCGCTGGATGCCTGGCCTCCTAAAACTTGTCGACTCGTGTCGACACCTTAAATCTCCCCCATCCAAACGTTCGGTCTACTAAATCTGTTTTCTCCCTCTGTGTCTCGTTCCATGCCATTGCTACAAAGATACACTTACGTGCCTTAACTCCTATGATTGATTATTGCGAACCGATATCATAGATGTAATTAAAGCATCAGACAAATGAGCTATTTGCCGTGTGCTCCACAACAAGGTGAAGCAGACACGGCGACCCTGTACGTGAACTAGTTTTTAGTGACGACGGACTTTCGCTGCATCTACGTCACTCTCCCCCCTGCTCGCTCACCTGCGCTCGGTGTCTAGGCAGAGTCAAGAAGCCTGAAGGCATGGAGGCGAAGGCGGATGGTACGGTCCAGTACGTACCCTGGCGCTCCACTCCACACTTTCTGGCCCACACAGGAATGACCAGGATTTTGACGAACAACAAAAGGTGTTCGTGACTGGAGCCGCCCCCAGGCGTGCCGTCCAAATCCGGCTCGGATCTCACACAGTGGAAGTACCATAAAGGCCCCACTAAGACAGAGCTATTGCGGCCTGACTCTTAGCCCACCAGTCGGCCACCCCACACAAAAATTCACAACCTGTCAAGTAACCGTTTGACCCTCACTGTTGTGACTAGGATCTCACTCGGTCGCATTCTGTCCGCCCTCCATCCTGCTACTGACGACAACGACCGTTGTGTTTTAGGACATATGCCACATATAATACATAAGCAGCTCACTAAGAGTTGAACAGGCCAGATGCTGACAGCTGCTTCACGGTGGTTGCCGATCATCAGTAGGTCGTGGGCTTTTACTGAAGGACCTGGAGTCATGAAGTGTGCGACTTCCGAGGGTATAAGTTGCATCACAGCGTTGGAATGGTACAGCATTCGGCGGAGTGTGTGGTCTACCGCACTCCTGAACTAAGTGAAGGAAATTGGGGGAAAATTTCGTAAGGCACGTAGTAGAAGAATGTCCACTTAATGACGGTCAACAAGCAGTGGTGCAAACGTTTCAGCTAACGGACCGGTAAGTTAATCTATAACGTGATAATGAAAACGTAGATGAATGCATAGTAGAAAAGCAGCACATGGCAACGAATGTACTGGCCTTTTGCAAGCCCTCCCATTTACATCCCCAAGCAACTGCCCCCACCCTCCAAATGCGGTCGTCTGGGGTATGTAATTCATTAGTAAAATTTTGATGAATGTGTCAACCCCATTCCTCCTAAAGTCAACGCGTACGGACCGGTCTGGTGACGTAACCTGGCTGTATGCACTAACTGGAGTGGGATTGGAATGGAGCAGATCCGCTAACGCACGTAGCCGAGCCACTAGCTGGATTAGGGAGGAAATTGACCGCGTAGTCAACGGGAAGCTAGGTCAATGTGCACTCCGTCTTCACAGTGGCACAGTCAGGGGAGGTGTTGAGGGTTTCACATATGGGTCACT